CGCGGGCTGGGGCTCTCTCCGGGGCCGCTGGGGGTGCGGGCGGCCTGCGTGCGATTCCGAGTCCCGTCGGTGTCAGCGCCCGCGTGCTGCCGCTTCGCGCACCCCGGGCTGGCCCGGCCTCGCCTGTCTTCACGGTGTGCAAGCTCAGTCTTGGCGAGACAGACAGCTTGCGTGGTGTGCCTCGTTCATGATTTCCAAACCTCACTAAGAACTAGTTTTAAAAATCTTCAAAGAGTGGAGCTGGGAAGACAGCTCAGCAGCACAAGGCCTGCCTGGCAAAGGCAAGGTCCTGAGTTCGATTCCCGGTACCAAAAAAAAAAAAAAAAAAAGGCCAGGAGTGGCGGCGCATGTCTGTAATCCTAGCACTCAGGAGGCTGATGCAGGAGAATCATTTCAAGTTCGAGACCAGCCTGGGCTACAAAGTGAACTGAAGGCCAGCCTGCCCTGCATAGTGAGACTCTGTCTCAAGAAAAAAATCTTCCAAGAGTGCGTCCAGGCTAAACAATGGCAAAATCTAGTTTTCTCTCCTATTGCAGTTATAACCCGATTTTCAGTATCTGCTCCACTGACCCCACAGAGGTTTTCTTTATTTCTTTTTTTTTTTTTTTTTTTTCATTTGATACCAGGAATTGAACTCAGGACCTTGTGCTTGCCAGGCAGGCAGGATGCCACTGAGCTATATCCCCGGCCCTCCCACAGAGGTTTTCTGTGTGCAGGGAACATCGTGGTCAGCAAAGCGCTGTGTTTCTGATCAAGTTCTGCTCAAAATAAGCTGGATTTCCAGGCTTCCTGAGGAACAGAGTCTCAGAATTTCATCCTGTATCTTCATAGCAGTTGTGACAATGACAACAAGCCTGTTCAAAAGCGTCAGGTTCTGGACATCATGAACGAGGCGCACCATGCGGTCTGCCTTTGTATCCAGGAAGGAAGTCGCACGGTGACCTTCCCGGTTGGTAAGACTGGTACAGGAAAGGCTGATGCTCCGACTACTCGGATTCGGGATGAATATCTCAAGTGAGACATGTATCTGCCTTTGGAGCACGAAGTATAAAATTTTCATTTGGACTTCATCTCCTCCCCATCCAACATTATTTTATAAAGGCAGCTTACAAATAAGTACATTTACAAAAATTCATTTTATGACATCTGCAAGTTGTTTACCAGGCATCTGTGCATACTTATGTTCAATTGATATAATTATATTGAGACACTTTAGAATTAAATGCTTTGTTCCACAGTTACTATTGCAAACTTTATGTTGAAATGAGTTCTGAGACTTGGAATAATAGCATCCTTAAGTGTAGAAGAAATCTGAAAAAATATCTAATCTAATTGACTCGTTTTTATCACTGACTAAACTGAAGCCCAGAAGAGTTGAATGATTCCTCACACAAGGAAGGTTAGAAAATATTTATTCATACAATCAAAAGTGCAGGGCCAGGTGTGGTGGTGCATGCCTGTAATCCCAACACACAGGAGGCTGAGGCAGGAGGATCCCTGCAAGTCTGTGGTCAGCCTGGGCTACATAGTGAGTTCAAGACCAGCCTGAACTGCATAGTGAGACCCTATCTCAAAAAACAAAAAAAGCTGGGTGTAGTGATGCATGCCTATAATCCCAGCACTCAGGAGGCTGAGGTAGGAGGATTACCCTGAGTTCAAGGCCAGCATGAGCTCAAGGCCAGCCTGAACTGCATAGCAAGACCCTGTCTCAAAAAACAAAAAAAAAGAGCATATAGCTCAGCAGCACAAGCATCTGCCTGGCAAGCACAAGGTGCTGAGTTTGATTCCCAGTGCCAAAAAAAGAAAGAAGAAATAAATAAAAATAAAAATAACCAAAAAAATATAAAAGATAATCAGAAATTCTCAATTTCCTAGCAATATTTTTATATTAAGTATTAATACCTTCAGTTATCCATACAAAAGGAAAATACTTAAAATTACAGTGACATTAGAATTTCACATTGCCATCTGCAAAGTGAAGTTGTGGGGTTTTCTCATGTGTCTTTTAAGGATGTGTTCGTGTTGATCTCTCAGTTTTTCATTTGCAAGAAATTTGTGGCCACCTGGCAACCCAATAAACATTTTCTCAGGCATCTCGACCGTTGTGGATTCTGCTTTGCTGTGCTCTTATTCTTGGCTGGAGAGGTGGAGGGAGGGAATCCAGGAACCACGCGAAGACTTACGCTAACCGAAGGTTAGAAGACTTGAGAATCAGTAAAGACAATAACAAGTAGTAATTAGTTGAAGCACTGTGAATATGTTTAAATTTATGGTTTCATGATAATATAAAAATTAAAAATTAATTTTCTTTGAAGGACAGATGTGAACAAACTCATTATTTTGAAACAACAGGAAGAGCTAACCCTGCCTTTTCCACACAAAATGGACCTTCGGATAACCAGAGAGTGAAGGAAGGCTTGTCTTTACAGAAACGCCAAGCTTGGAAGGTGCAACAGAAATAGAAGTCACGGTTTCCCAACCCCCAGTGATTCAGTAGCTTTTGCGTTAGTCAGCTAAAGGAAACAGTTGATGAAATAATCCTGATTTATTGCATCTCTCTAGGAGTTTTAAGAGCATGAGCACCTAACTCCTAATTCAAAATGGTAACACTCGGGGGCCAGCATTAAGAAAATGACTTCTAGCCAGGCATGGTGGCCCACGCTTGTAATCCCAGCACTCGGGAGGCTGAGGCAGGAGGATCATTGTGTGCAACACAATGAAAGCAGTCCTCAGACAGAAATCTATAGCCGTGAATTCTCACCTTAGGAAAGCAGGATGAGCACATATAAACAGCCTTTAGCCAGACCCTGTCTCAAAAAGACAAAAAAAAAAAGAGGCCTGGCGTGGTGGCGCACACCTGTAATCTCAGCAGTCAGGAGGCTGAGGCAGAAAGACTGTTGAGTTCAAGACTAGCCTGGGCTACAAGGTGAGCTCAAGGTCAGCCTGAGCTGCATAGTGAGACCCTGTCCCAAAAAAAACAACAACACCAACAACAGCAAAGACAAGATGACTTCTGTGGATTGATCGTGCTGTTCATACACTGCTGTCATCTTCGTTGTTGGAAGGCGTCGTGTCTGTGACTATAGGAGACACACACTGGCTGGTGTCATCCAGGGACAGCAGGACCTCACCGCTGTGCCGAGGAGCTCACAGTGTTGGCGGGAGGCTGTCTGTCTGTCTGTCTGTCTGTCTGTCCAGTGCACCACGTGCCAGAAGTGTGCTGGGTGCAGGAGCAGCTAAGGCAAACAAAACACGGTGGCCTGGAGGAGCTCAGCCTTGCGGGGGGCGGGATGAGCAAACCAGGGCTGGGGAGGTAGCCTGGGGCAAGCGCTGGAGCGTGCGCTCAGCAGTCAGGGCGGGGACGGTCCTGTTCACCGAGCGGAGCACGGCTCAGCGCTTCCGCATTGGGCGCCAGGGTCAGGAACAAACAGGCCGAAGTCCCCGCCTTCATGTCGCTTATACTACTTTTTATCCCCCGCTTATTAGTACATACATGCTTCCAATACCTTGTAAATGCATTCGTCCCGAGGAAGCTGGTGATGCACCAATCGCACCTAATCCCTCGATTTCCTTCCCTCCTCCCCTCCCTCTCGCCCCATCTGCAGATCCCCTAGCAGCCTTTCAGAGAGCCAACCCCAATTCACTGATCCTTCCTATTGCTTTTTGCCTCAATTTCATTGAATTTCTGCTCTGATCTTTCTGTTGTTGCTTGAAACCAGGTCTCGCTGTGTAGTTCAGGCTGGCCTTGAACTCACTATGTAGTCCAGGGTGGCCTGGAACTCATGGGGATCCTCCTGCCTCAGCCTCCCAAGTGGCGGGATTACAGTACAGGTATGCACCATGACAGTCAGCTTCTGATCTGTACAAGTTCTTTCCTTCTGTTAGTTGCACATTTGCACTGTTCTTGTCTTTACATGACCCTGAGATGCATCAGTAGGTTATTTATTTTGGATTGCCCTATTGTTTTCGTGAGCATTCACAGCTATAAACTCCCCTCTTAGAACCACTTCATCATGTCCCTAGGTTTTGGCCTCTTGTATTTCCACTGGCATTTGATGCCAGGAACTTTTCGATTCTTCCCTGGGTCCCTCTCTGAGCCTCTCTGTTATTATACAGTAACATATTGTTTAATCTCCAAGTGTTTGCAGGCTTCAGTAACTCCTTTTGCTGTTGGTGTCTAGCTTCATTCCGCTGTGATCAGTCACATACCGGGGATTCTTTCAGTCCCTTTGTAATTACTTAAGCAGGCTTTCTGGCCCGAGACTTGGCTGTTTTGGACAGAGCTCCACGTGCTGTTGAGAAGAATGTGTATTCTGTTGTTGCTGGATGCACCACTCTGTAGACAGCTGCTACGTCCTCCTGTTCAATGGTGTGGCTTCGCTCTGATGTGTCTTTGTTGATTGGTTTGTCTAGGGGACCTGTCCAGTTGTGAGGGTCGGGTATTGCAGGCCCTCGCGGTCGTTGTCCCGGTGTCTCTCTGTCCTCCTAAGTCCAGCAGTGTTTG